GAGAGTATATTTTGAAACCAGCGGGCCCAAGACCTGGATGTAGCGTGTCGGGGTTGCTAGTGTTGGCTGCGTGGTTGGTGTTGGCAGCCTCTTGGGCATTGGCGGACTGAGAAGAGTGTATGATGTGAAGGTTGAGGAGAGAATGAGCTTGTAGAAAGTGGGAACTTTGTTTTACTAGAGACTGGTTAGTATTTGACATGGTCGAGGGAGAAAATAAAGCATACTATCGATTTTCCCATTCGAATTGACTGCAGGAAGCTTGATCAGTATTTGATTTACAAAATAAAATGAGATACTCAACCGTAATCAGCAACATAGTCACGCCAATGAGCCAATTTCCCACCGAACGCTTCATAGAGAACCTCGAACCTCAATCCAGGGCGAAGCCTTTCCGGCACAGTTGGCAACATCTGGTCACGAAAGTATGCCTTAGTCTCTGATCTTGAGCAATCTCCTATGGTTATTATCTAAGGGGAGATTGTCAGGCTTGAAGGGAGGTCCAACTGATGCATGCGGACCTTGCAGTGCTGCATGACGTTGAATTGCCTCAGCCACGTCTGATAGAAGGGATCACTCGTCGCGTGTATGACATGGCATAATCGATCCTGCTTTGTCAGGACTAGCATTGAATCCAGGAGGCACTTCATTGTCTCCGTGGACCGGATCAGGGCCGGTCTGCATAACCGTCAGTCTGAGCCTTAACACAAAGGAGCATGCAACGAACAATTTATGAGCCTCATCGAAAAAGATAACCTACACAGCCAGTCACAAACTGCCGAAGAAAGGAAAGTTATTGCAAGAAGACTGACCGGCATTTTCTTGGATGGTTTCCTGTTATAAGTGCCGTTTTCTACATTGGAAGTTCTCGCGGGCTTTTGAGGCTCTCTGGCCTTCCCCTTGAATGATCTCCGGAAAGTCCAACGTTTAGACCGGGGAGAGGGTCCACTTGTACCCGGATCGACGTGTGTCTGCTCGGAGGCATTATCAGACGACTGTTGTCGTTTGCCATATTCATGACCGTTACTGTCGCCGTTCTCCAGCGGTCTAAATTCCCAATACTTCAGAAGCGAGCTCTGCGACACGTCCACATTAAAAGTTACTAAAGATAAACCAATGACGGATTGCTTACCTGAAAAAGTTCCATGAGCCGCGCTATATCACTAGTTTTAACAGGGCCTGTTTTCGTATCAGAAGCATTTGATGGACGTTCTTGAACATTTTGACGGTCGAACTGAGACAAGCATGAGGGGAAACATTGAACATTTGAGGCTTGGATGGCAAAAAATGTGCCTCACCTTAAAGCTCCATGCCTCCTTCTTGAACTCTTCATATCCCGCCATCTTGGTCGCAATTTCCTCAAAATAGAGTTCCATTTGCTGACTCAGGCTTTGGTACAGGCTTGCCAAGTCCGCAAACCCGGCAATGCGAAGATCGAAATGAAGAACGTGGTAATTGTCGCGTGATAGGACTTCTCGCAGTAATGCCGTCTACCATAGAAAGGGTTAACACATGAACGAATCTCCGAGGTGCATGAGAAATAGTCGCACCTTGCCCGTGGAGCTTGCGCCAAAGAGAACGGTGAAGGAAGGCTCTCCCTCCAGTGCTCGTTCAAGGGCCTGAATTTCGGCTCTCCGAGGGAAGAATCCTGGGAGGCGAGAAAACGTATGTTTTGGTCGAAGTTGCGAGCGCTCCCTATTCTCTGAGATTTCGCGACGCGCTTCATCGAGAAGTCTTCGGGACTCGGTAAGAGAACGAACTGTCTCTGCAGGCTACAAAAAGTCAATGGGATGAACACTTTTTCACAATACTTGACTGACGTTCGCGATAACACCAACAATTTCGCTCATTCCGAACAAGTTTCTTTTTTGTATGTCAACAGGAAGAAACGAGCGGCGCCTGCGAGGGATATTGCTTCTAAACAACCAATGTATTGACGGCACACGACTGCGGGGCGACGACGGGTGCTGTGGACTTCGCAATTGAACTATGCTGGGACTGTGTTGCATGCCAAGAAGAAGTGACTGCGAGGAGCACAATGTCAACGGGTTGCGGATTGGACGATAAGCACTGATGGACGGGGTTGTGCAAGTGGGAGATTCGATTGAGTTGGGGTTAAGTCGAGGATATAGATATTTAGGCTAGCTATGAGCGTACATGTGTGATGCGTTCACCATCATGCGAGCTCCTGCCGTCTGGGGCGCGTTTAACTGCATCGTGCCAGTGATAGAGGCAACGGAGAGGCGAACACGTTGCATCAACGTGGAAATGAAGACTAAAACGAGGATAGACTCTATAAAATTGACCGCCAATCTCTCACGTCTGTATCGATTAGTGGTCAAATCATCTCGTTGTGGCTCCGTGCTCCGAGAAGCCGCAGGCTCGAATCCTGCTACGGACATCGGACAAATTATCTTTTAGTCAGAAACGCCATGTGTTCTACAGATTCTTGTAAGTCAAAGCTTCAACATTCAAGCTTCATTACTTTTCGCGTTAAATTATTTTGTAAGTTACAAACGAATTGGCCGATGTAGCCACCACTCCAGCAGCTCAGCGCTCAACCAACAGGCGTGGTTTATGCCTCTCACAGTCATAAACATCGAATGGGAAAAATACATTTCGTGGAAAGTAACAATCTCAGCTCTACCAAGCATCCTCATCTTCTGAAACATCATCAGGGTCAATGCCCTGCTCCAGCATCAGCCTTAGCAGACGGGAGGATGGACCCGACCTTGAACCGTCGTCTTCATATGCCCTGCAAAAATTATAGGTTTAGGCCACAAGTGAGAGACTATGAAATGATGGAAACGGACCGTTGGTCGTCGTCACCATCCTCTGCAATGAAATCTCTAATAGCGACATTCAGTATGTATTGAGCATGAATGGGTGGCATCTTACTCATGGTCACTTTCATCAGTGGTATCTTCAGCTATCATCCTTGCATACCTCCCCATAGCACGAAATAGTGGTGGCCCATCGTCATCGTCTGAAGCGACAACATCGATATCGACTTCGTCCGTTGTGCGTCTCCTCGATCGGTAGCTATTCCCAGGACCACTAGATCGGTTCTCGAATATGATCACCTCATCGCTATGGTGGCTCTCGTCGTCACTATTATCCACGACTTGGCGCCGACTCCTCTGCATGGGCCGACGTGAACGCGGTAGCCTATCGGGGGATGGTTGCCCGAGCTGTTCCACATCGTCGATGAAACTGCTTTCATATCCCTCCGACTCATCTCCACTTTGACCCCCGATATGGGCGATTCCTGGCTCGTCTTCATTGTTGTCAGGCCGTAAGAACGCAGCCAAAGGATGAATGCGGGCAGCAAATGGCCTGAGGGGATGAAGGGGGCCACCGCGTATAACCTCGGGGATCGGGTCCTCGTCATCCTCGTCATCCTCGTCGATCTCATCAGCAAACATTAGCCCAACCGAATCCTCTGAACCCGAGGTCAGGCCGCCATGATTCCCTCCAAGACGCGGACCCTGGCCGTTCGCCAATAGCTGTAGTAGATCCCGAAATCCTCCAGCGCCATGATCAAAGTCCAAATTTTCGTCATCTTCGTCATCTTCGTCGTGCTGGTGCCCTGGGTATGTCCTCTGGCAACGCGTACACACACCGCGCCAGATCTCATGCATGCAATCAATGCACCTATAAATCCCACCATCATCTGCATCATACATGCCCATTTCTTCCAGCCCCTGCCCCTCACCGCCTTCGCGTGGTGGTCGCGGCGGTCGCGGTTCGAATATGTCAAAGAACGAGCGGCGGTTTGCGCGGTGGAAGATATTCCGCCAGGGATCATCGCTGGTTGATGCAGATACCTCGGCCTCAGCAGCTTCGGGGGCAGGCGCTGGGAGTTCCACAAGTCCGCTGCGTGCGAGTCCCGCAACCATGCTCTTGACGCCCCAGACCTCTACGGGCCGCTCTGTTACGTGCGTGCGGCATATAGGACAGTTCTTTTTCTTGTGCTGGTGGGAGGCTCCCGGAGCGCCTGGTATATCCTCCTCGAGGCCATTGGGTCCGTCCGGCCCTCCGGTAAACCATCGAACGAGACACGGGTAGCACACGATGTGTCCGCAAGGCGCGAGGGCAAACGGCTTGTGCAAGAGGTCGAGACAGATTTGGCATGTAAGAGCTTGATGGACCTGAGTGAGATGCGTTTGATGCTGTCGAAGGAGCTAAAATCGCGAAGATTATTGTTAAAAGAGGTTTTAATTTAGCATATATTACACGTGCCAGACGTTGGGCTTCCAGGTCTTGCTGTAATCGCGCGATGTGGGCTTCTGGAGATTGGATGACAGATGGGGTTGACTCTTCTCTCGCCTTGCCTTTTCCTTTGTCTGCATATGGCTACAAGATAAAACACGATTAATCAATGCTTAAAGAACAATAACAAGATCTTACAATCCTGGGAGACGTGTCTTCCACGTCCGGCGCGACGTTTGAATCCTGCAGTGGCTCCACGTCCACATTGTCGGGCGCAGCATCAGCCTCCGCCTCAGTTTGCATACCATCATGTGTCGCCACTGTCTCACTCCTTGATTTCGACCGTGAACGAGTCTCGGGGTTCATCACAACCACACTAGACTTGCGTCTCCTCTTCCTCTTCCTCTTTTTGTCAGGCTTGGATCCGTCATCCCTTTTCGACTTCTTTGAAGATCTCGAGTTCTCAACGTCGGGATCAGGTTCTGAAGTGCTGCGTTTCCTAGAGTTCATGGATGGAGCAAAGAGAGCCCCGCTTGAGTCTGGAGCTTGACGCGTCGACATACTGGTTAGGGGGGACAAGTAATGAGCTGGGTTTGAAAATCCAGAAGGCAAGGGCCTTAGATACAAGCACAGCCAAATCGATTGAAAGCGTCCTCCTTTCTCGAATCGATCAGAATTATTCTAGATTCTAAGGTGTGGTGCCCGCTCTGAATTGTGTGCAAGCACAGAGTATTAGAATTATACAAAGTGCGTGGGCCAAAAAAACAACAAATAGCTGCTTTGTATTCTATTGTCCGTAGCAGGATTCGAGCCTGCGGCTTCTCGGAGCAGGGAACCACAACGAGATGATTTGACCACTAATCGATACAGACGTGTGAAATTGTCATCTAATCTGCGTTAAGTGATGGTTCTTGGTCCTTGCTTCAACAAATACTTACTCTTCAGTCTTTCAACTTCCAAGGGCAGCAGATGTCCTTATAAAGCCACAACGAGATGATTTGACCACTAATCGATACGGACCATGTTAGCATTTCCTTTTCGGAATGAATTTGAGATGTGGGCTGAGGAGGTGGTGTCGATAATTTTGCGATAAAGCAGTACTCCAAATCAGTGCTCCACTGCTCTCCCAAAAAGCAAAACTGTGGTGGAACACGATCTGACCCTCCCTCTCATTGTCATCGCTTGGTTGTCACCATCTATGACCTACTTAATGTCATATTGAGTCGAGACCAGCTAATTATGCTATCTCGTTCCATCCAGAAATCTCAGTATTTGGAAAGGCCTAAGGCGAGTTCAACGACAATGGAGAGAATAAACTGAAAACAGCAATACGCGTGCACACAAGAGTTGCATTGTTACCTCTAAAATTCGAGGTTGACATAGTGTAGGACTCGATCCCAACTGTCTGTTTGAAAGGTAACGATTACTCCTTTCGAACGATGTGAAAGCTCTGCAAAAATGGTAAATTCTGTCAGTCACTAGCCACCTCATGACAAACATCAAGACAGGGTGAAATCTATTATCTATAGGGGTAGTAGTGACAGAGAACAAATATCGGGGTAATACATATCTATAAGGATAGTTATCTACATAGGTATCAATAGGATGGAGGCAATGGACTTCATCCTACTTTTGGGCGGCTTATTTTGGATGCAATGCGGCGGCCTTCTCACGTTTCTCCTTCAGCTCAACCGAAGCGTACACGGCACCGCCCACGAGAGTCAATATGATCCCAATAGCGTTCATCGGGGTTATAGTGAGGTTGAACATCGCCACCGCACAAAGAATCGTCAAGACCTGCTTGACATTCGCTAGAGTCGAGCAAGGTCAAACGATGAACATCTGATGGCAGGACCAAGATGGGGGGATCTGCACTTACCAGCAACGGTCATGCTCAACGCCCCGATCTTGCGATTGGCGCTAAAGCTGACCACGTTCAGGCCAAACGCCATGAATCCATTGATTAACAGCAGAACAAGCTGAAAACTTGGCATTCCAGAGGAAGATGGCGGCATCGTGCGTGCGAAGATGTTGATTTGGGGCTGGCGGAACATGTATTCCTGCACCCGGCCAAGTTCGCCACTGTACTGCGCCAGGAAGGTGCTCTGGAGGAAGGCGAGAGGGGAAAGGAGGTACAGGAGGTGCAGCGGCGTGAGTGGTGGTAGTGTGGTATAACGGAGCGGCGATATAGGCGTAACGGGGTGTTTCTCTACTCCTGAAGGGGCCTCTTTTGAGAGGCGGACAGATGACGTCCGAACTTGGAGGAAGTTGGTGTATATCGTTTTGAGGGATGCAAGGACAGTCCCAAAGAGCGTTAAAATGAATCCCCACGGGGTAAAGTAGTAGTCTCCGTAGGTCCTGTGGGCGAGGTTAATCCAGTTGAATGGTAAAAAGCCCTTGAAACGCACGCAAACCCGACCCCTGCCACGACGGGAAGGAGAGCGACTAACTTCTTGGGGCTACTTCTTATACCAAGAATCAATGCAGAAAAAAGGATTGTGAAGAGTGGTGTAGCAGCCCGAACGACTTGATGAAACTATAGGTAGACCAAATTAGAGCGGGCAGGGTATGGGATAGAGATTACTCACTGGAACCGTGACGAGTCCTAATGATAAATTACTGACAATAATATTGATTGTGTAGAGGCTACTGAAGGCTAGTAGAATGAGTGTTTCGTGAAAGTTGAGCTTGGGGACGGGGGTCGATCCAGCGCGGACGAGGATGAGGCTACCGATGGAGCCACAGAGGGCATGTAATGCAGAGAGCGTGTAAGGGAAAGGAAAGCTGATAAGAAGTGATTTATTGTACAGTGTCAGGCCAAGATTGAGAGAGAAATAGAGTGCGAGGTAGGCTGTGGGGTGCACGAGGAGGCGTGATTGTTGAAAGCAGGCTACAACTGAAGCCAGCCAATTGTGCCGCCTGAACCTGGCTTTCCTACGTATTGGGGACGTTGGCTGAGGCAGCTCGAGGGGTGTCTCGTGAGGCTGGAGGCTGGGCGTGGGCGATGGTATGCGTGGATAGGGTTGATCTTGGTGGAAAACGCGTTGGCTTTGCAGTGCTGAGTTCCTTCCTCGAATTGCTCCCGGTACCCTGAGAGATTGCGGGTCATTTACGGCCATCGCCTTGATGTCGTTCTCTTCCTCTCTCCTGCCACCGCTCGAATCTGCTTTGTCGTCGCTGGAACTGTAGGGCGTCGTTATTCGTTCGGGAGTGGCCAACACGACATATGGGCCTTGAGGCGGTATCAGTGATGCGTTAGACGCAAAGTCATGCTCGCCGCCATGTGTGTGATGGAGCCACGGAATGCCTGCCGGCGTCGTTGGAATAAATATTGACAAAGGCCCCGAGGACGACAATCGATTTGGACTGGGGACTGGAACTGACATGGCGACTTGGACGTCAAGGGATTCGATACCGAATTTATCTGAGTCTCTGGGTGGAACATTCAACGTCTCCTACATTCAACAAAACGATGGATGGAAGCTTAAACTTGGGAAGCCGGAAGTTTTCCGGTCCGGGCGTTGTGGAGACCATGGCCACATTCAAAGTTTGATTTTATTTGCTTTTCACTCTCTTTTTCAAACTTAAACATGGTGGTTGCTATGTAATTGAAAACTCCGAGCCATCGAGAAGCGCGAACCTAGCAGTATTTCTATCGATTATACACGTTCGAATGTGTTGCGTTTGCCGGCCGTTGCGAGGGTGTACGCATTGTGTGATGCAGGTACAAAATGTATCGGCATGAATGGGTTGAGCCGTGAATGTCTCCTTGCGCGTCTGTTTAATTTGATGTTGCTCGCCCTTCGGCCACTCTAGATGTCTATGCACCTTGAGCTTAAGATCTACAACTGTGCGCAGCTCAATGTCACTGTGTTCTGTGAAAGGGATGGAGAGGGCACGGAATACTGATCAAGGAGATTCCACGCCATTCATCGCACTGTGTCGGGGCGGTTTTTAGTGAGACTATGACATCAGGCTTCTCCCGCCGAGTGGGGAAATTGGAGGCACCGTAGACGGGTCCAGAACGTGATAGTTCCATACGAATAGTTGCTCCTCCAGCCAATTTCGGCGCAGAATATGTGTATACAAACGGGCGAGAAGCCAGACAAAACCGCCGGGATCGCACCTTTTCCCAGAGTGCCTTGACACCAGTACCGGATAGAACAAGACCCAAATCACACTGAGAACGGGTAATGGAGGAGTAGCACTACCGAAGAAATCAAAGGCAGGTTACGCCACTCATAGTACTTCAGCCAACTATGTTCCGGCGGGCGACGGTGCTCGGGCAAATCCCATAGAGAGGGCGGAGTGGTCCAATCACGGTATCTGATCCCTTGATATCTTCACCCCAACTTCCTTTAATGGGCTCCTCTTCCAGTAGCAGGAAGTACTCTACACCTCAGAAGTCCGCTCCTTCTGACATGCTAGGCACATTAATAGCAAGGGGAAGTCGAGAGGTACGCGATATTCCTTCCGCTACTGGCAGTAGCATGTTCAGACCGTGGTCCTGGAAACATGAACGGGAGCATGCATCGCCGACCCTATTATCAAGCCGACGGGAATAAGGTTTGAACAGAAGAGACAAACGGCTAAAGAGTATAGATAGATAAGATCTAGATATGATATTC